TACTATATAATAGCGGAGATCATCATGTGATCACGTGAATTTCAGAATCATCCAATTTCACGATCATCCGCGACAATTATTAATAAAAATTAATCCAAAATTTTATTAAAAGTTATTTAAAAAACCGGTTCTGTTACAGTGTAGAGCTAAGCTAGTTTAGAACTACAGTTTTAAAAAAAAACATATACAATTTTGTTTGTTGGTTGTGTAGAAAAATGTATCTAAATTAGTACAAATTTATAAGTAAAATAACCCTTTAAAAATCCGAAATTAATGATCATCATACTAATTAGTCTATTGAACACCCTAACGATACGATACGCCTTTTGTTTCGTCGGTACTCTTTCTTTGGGTTTTTAACACTCTCCTTGGTTTTTTCAATTCTTCAATTAACTGTACATTTTCAGACGGGTTTGTAGTTGTAGGCGAGGTGTCAGATGTTTCTGTTATTGTAACAGGATCAAGATAAATTTAGATTCGCAACTCGCTTTAATTTTTCCAGTCGTTACTTTTATCAGTAAAAGTATATCCTAACCTGTGGAATCCGGCATTGTGAGGAAAGTGGGTCAACTCTATAACAATACAACAATAACAGAAACTAGATAGCAACTTTTCTTTGGGTGATCACATAACATATTTTATTTAATAAATCGATATTTAATATAGCAATTTGGTGTCACAAATCACATGACCATTTGTGTGATACTTTAGCGATACACAAGACACAATCAGATTTATAGATATTTATTCTAACGCAGACAACACATATGACTTATATATCGTTAAGCGGTAAATCGAAGGATGAAATTCGTTATGACAACAACTGTTTTCATCAATTGAATAGGAATTAATCCAAAGTAAACTATGTAACATAGAAAAAGTAATATTATTTAAAAACACTCACTGATAAGGAAAAGACAGAGAACTGTAGGCCCATATCTATCATCGTAAGGACCAGTTTCTCTCTTTCTTATTTTAGCAGCTCTCCAATGATATAACGACAATGCGTATATCATGACAAGCATAGCTTTTAATTGAACAAAATATATTTTAGAATAAAAATCGAATTTGGAAAAATTTTGGAGAATCCCAAACTTGTAATAATTTACGTACCAACTGAAGTAAATAATGCGGCAGATATTCTTCCTACTTTATCCCCAAAGTTGAGTAGCCCAATTGCAAGACCTCCTAAGACAACAGTAAACTGTAGCCATGAGAGAAAAGTTCGCTCATTTGCAAAGAAAACCTAAGTTACGTGAAATAGGCCGACTTTTAACAGATTTTTAGGTTATTACAGTTCATGTTAGAAATAAATTTGCATACTTTAGGCTCAACTCTAGCAGGAAGAGCAATTCGTTTAGAAGGTTGAATAAGTGGTTGAGACGACATCCTTCCTAAGGCGTAAGTTGCAGGAACATCTTGCGTGAGCTTTTTATCATTACTCAATTGGAGTACCGATTTCAGCCATATTAATAATTGACCATTTATATAATTTGATTCGCAAATCTCCGGTTTATCATTTTTATCGAGTCACAAGAACTATGAAGAAATGCATCGGTATCACGCACGTATGTATGTATGTACTGTACGTACGCCCGAAACAACGGATAAACCAATTTCATTTTTTCTGTAGTTTGCCCTTCCCCTAATACGAAAAAGGACTACGAATTCAAACCACGAATATACATATTTGAAAACCGCTAATATATACGAATCATTTTTTTTTTCTACATTTGAGAAACCAGGTACAGTATTGGTTATCGTTACATTTTAAAACAGATGATAAATAATAGATAAGGTTCGCATTGCACAGGATGGTTTTGACTTGTTTTTACTGTAGTTTGAGTTAAAAAGCAATAGGCTGTATTTAAGAGCTTATAAATAAAATTTATAAGACAACTATATGGGTCGTTTTCTAGGAAAATCACTGTCTGAAAGTAAGTATTAAATGATGATTTTCCTAGCAAACTACCCATATAAGGGAGAGTTGGCGGTGGGTAATTTGGCGCATCTAGGTTTTTCAGCTATATCCCATTAAATAGCACTCAGAATCAATTTATATTAATACCATTCGATTCGTCTCATTAAGACGATTCAAATTATATAAAAATTCGCATAATTCTAATTACTACATAAACTACAAAAATAAACGGTCAAATATTATGGTTCACGTATTATTCACGTGTCCAATTTTTTCTTTTAATTTTACTATCTGGAGAATGTAGTACATACGTAATACAAACGAAATACATAGTGCGCCATAATACGCCCAACTTGAAAAAAAACATTGCAGTTTTTTTAATGCATGTGCAATTCTTAAGTGTGCCATAATACCCGACTCACCCTTATATTAATTATATTTATATTCTTAACGTTAATAAATTGAGGGACCAACATCCAACGTGAAGTCAATTAGTGTTTTTTATGATTATTAATCACTGACGGACTTTAAATACTAATTGACCTCACGTTGGAACCAACCTCACTCACAATTAATTATACAGATTAAAACAAAATATACGTATACGTGGTAATTTTCATACAAAGATTACGCAATGCAATGATTTGGGATGCCGTGAACGAAGTCATGAGACATCCATTTGTCACGAGATCATGACACCCATGACATCAGATAAGCGGGGTGATGAAGTGGGTGATTAGTAAGTAATGATGTATTGGTGATAAATGTCGAATTCGAAAAACATTGGCCTGCACTAGTTATTTTTATGGCTGTATGCCAGCTACTTAAGAAGCTGGAGATTTATTTATTAGGTAAGCAGTATAAGAGTATGGAGGTAATACAGTATATACATTTATAGGTGCTGAAACAGTGATTTCCTGAAAGAGTAGCACTGAGAGTCACTATAACAGAACAGGTAGAAAATAGTTGAGCAATGTCAACGTGATTATCAGCCAGTGGTTTCCCGCCTGCCGAAGCAGGCTGGCTATAAAATGGCAGAATCAGGTGGCTGTCCTCACACTGTTGGAAGTGGGCTGGGTGGGGCAAAAAATTATTTCTCGATAGAATTTCAGGTGAGAGTTCTCATAGCCGATGTTTTGCGTATTTATATGAAAGGGGTTGGTGGCTTGTTGTACGTGTGATTCATGCATAGTCCTGTGGCTGCCGATCGTTAGTGATGTTGGGCCTGCGCATAATTGGTCTGATTTGTCGTATGCACAATTTTCTGTGGTCGTCAATCATCACTGATGCTGGGCATGCATGTGGTTGGTTTGTTTTTCATGCTCGAATACTTGAAATGGCTCTAATCGTTATGTGCTTGACAAAGCTGATTCATGTATACTGATTGGGACCGGTGCTGTATCTGATTATGGTGTGTAACTGTGTCTGGCTTTATTTTTTGAACAGTTGACTCTAGTTAACTAGCATGAAAAACATTGGTCTGCACTAGTTATTTTTATAGCTGTATGCCAGCTACTTAAGAAGCTGGAGATTTATTTATTAGGTAAGCAGTATAAGAGTATGGAGGTAATACAGTATATACATTTATAGGTGCTGAAACAGTGATTTCCCGAAAGAGTAGGGCTGAGAGTCACTGTAACAGACCAGGTAGAAAATAGTTGAGCAATGTCAACGTGATTATCAGCCGGTAGTTTTCTGCCTGCTAAAGCAGGCCGGTTGTAAAATGGCAAAATCAGGTGGCTATCTAAGAGTAATGTTTTGATTCAGCCATTTTGCGTCGAGGTTTTTTTTTTTTTTTGGCCCTCAATGCTCATTGTCGACTTGTTTGTTCTTTGACCTTTGAAGCTTGATGTTGTAGGGGGGACAATTGGCTAAATTGGTTGGTTGATGTTGCTGCTATATGGAATTGTTTTGTTCATTCATTGTCAATTTTTTTTTTTTTTTATATATATATCTTGGGTTTAGTGTTTGTTTTTTTTTTTTTTTAATGTTTTAATTGTATGTATCAATGTATTGTTGCTATAGTTGTTTCCTCTCCCCCTCTTCTATACATATATATATATATATATATATATATATATATTTTTTTTTTGTATGTTTCTGGTCATGTGAAATAACACTGTTAAACTGCCTATTCCAAGTGTGATAAAGTAGGTCAATTGGTATATGCTTTTGTTAGAATCAAGACAATTGTTGCTGGGTGGCTGCGTATATATCTATAGAACGATTCAGAGTCCCATCTGCCGATTTTTTGGATTAGGATAAGTTGGACGCCATGTGTCACAAGCTCGGTGGTTTTGCCTGCCTAGAAGCTATATCCTGCCACATCCTCATTTGGAAGTAGTTGTTTGAGTTTGGTTATAAACTAGCGCTTAGTAGCCCAGGAGCTGTTCTTCTTTATGAAGAGTATATTACTATTGGTGGCATACGTTGGTTGGGTGTGTATACTTTTATAGCGCATACGGGACATAGTGCGTCGTCGGTTGGGTGTATAATTAAGGAGGGGCGAATAACGGATTTGTGGCTTTTGTCTGGATAGTCGCGAAGGTGCTATTATTGGTTTTTTCAAATTTCAATGCTTTTAGAGTGGGAACTTTGTTGGTGTCAGATTGGTTGTTAGGTAATAACTCTCCTAGCCTTGCTAAGCTATAAAAGGCTGAAAGGGCTATTGCCCAAAAAAGAAGATTAGTCTTGTTGGTCATGTTAAGTTGACATTTTATTTGTGTGAGATGCTCTCAGTTGATATGGGTTTTCTAATTTACTAGTTGGTAGACATGTGTCTCTTTGATAGTCTTGAGTAGCTGTGTGATAAGGGGTTGTGACGAACTCGGGTCCAATTGTGGTGGTAATTCAGGGCGGAAAGATATATAGTAATAGTAGGGAGAGTGATGCTTGCGTAGAGAAAGGTAATATACTTAATAAAAGATTGTGTAGATATGGGCCACACTGAGCTGTTGCTATTGGTCCAACGGTTAGTAATGGCAAGAGTTTCGTATCGCTTGATTATGGCTTTGTAGGCTTTTTTGGAGGGGGTTGATATGTTAAGTAGCTGTGCGGCTTGGGTGTCAAGGGTGGGCATGGTTCTGAAAGAGTTGATTTTGACAGGATTGGGTGTATTGATGGGGTGGGGTGTGTATTGCTGGGCCCTATTGTTTTAAAGATAGAATTATCGAGGTTAGTTTTTTGTATATATCTGGGATATTGGGTTGGAGGTAACGGGAATATGAGTTGTCTCTGATAAACTCTTGATGACTATTTCTTGAGAGTAAGTCTGTGTTGTGGTTGTGTGCGCCGGGTATGTGTTTGAGTTTAATAACGAAGTTTCCTTGGACTTGTGAATTGTATATCAGAGCAATCAGTTCGTTGATGTTGGGATTTTTGCAATATTCGGCGTAATATGCTTCTGCGTTTGAGAGGTTGTCGGTTCAGATTATGAGCTTGTTTCTTTCTCACATTGGGGCAAAGGTTCATATGGCGATGAGTGTGGTTAGGAGTTCGCATATTTGAATATTAACTTTGTTGAGGTCGATCTCATTGGCCCATACAAAGGCGGTAAAATAGTTGTGGTATACTGCCCCTCTGTCTATGTTGGATGCGTCCGTGAAGAGGTTAAGGGTGGTAGGCTGGTTCTATTTTTGGTCTTGTAGTAGATATATGCCGGACCAGCTCTGTAAGGTGGTTATCCACCATTGAAAGTCGCAGGCCATGGGTTTGGTAATACGAATGTGGAGTTTTGGGTTGTTGGATATTTCTTGGGCTTTAATGAAGCGTTGAATGAATGGTTTTCCTTGTAGTATAATTTGGCATATTCACACTAGAGAGCCTATGATTGATTGAAGCTCCTTATGAAAGCACCATTTCTTGTTTAACCATTGGCGGACCAAGTTAATTAGCTTTTCACACTTCGAGAGCGGAATTGATGCTTTCATGGTTTGAGTGTTTAGCTCAATATCTAAGAAAGTTACATTTGTATACAGGCCTTCTAGTTTCTCGAGCTTGTATGGTACATTGAGGATACTGAGAATACGTATAAATTGTTGAAGCTCTCAACTTCTATTGGTGAGGAAGATAATAAGAAAGTTGTCAACATAATGAATTATGGCTGAAATGCCTTGTTGGGAGGCAATCCAAGTGATAGTATTGGCAAAATGACAAAAAATACCACTGGACGCATGGTTGCTGAAGGCGAGTACTTTATCGAAGTATAGGTTGGTGCCGTGGTGGAAACCCTGCAGAATTTGGTTGACAGGGTGGACAGGTAAGATTCTGTAAGCGTCTTTGATATTGATTTTTGATAAAGTGTACCCGTTGCCGAAGTGGTTAATTCAATATATGGTGTGGTTTATGTTTTTGTACTTTGTGAAGAACTCGAGTTTGTTGATTCTGTCGTTTATACTGTTCTTTGGAGGAGAAGACAGGTAGAAAATAACCTGGTATTTCTTGGGGTTGGTGTCTTTCTTCTCGACAA